TGCACTACGAAAACCGAATTCACCAGGAAAACAGGGTTCCAGCCAGACCATTCGAAATCTAAGCAGCTCTGTAATCGGAAGACTAAAAAATGAATTAATTCTAAAGAAAAGACATTAGCATGGTTAAGAAGACATGTTGAGTTGCTAAATAATAATTTTAAAATGCAGCTGCAATTATAGGATTTGACTTAAAAAGAAAAAAACAGTGAAGGTAGATCCCAGGAGGGGATGGAAGGCTGAATTGTGGGGGCCAGGGCACAACAGGAAAGGGGACTTGGCAATGAAACGCGGAGCCCAGAGGGACGGGAGGGAGGAGGGCCACACAGCTTCTGTGTCCCCTGCGCCAGTGCCCTGTGCGGCCCGGTGCTGGTACCTGGTCCCACACACCATTGATGGACTAGCAGTAGCTGCACACGAACCGATGCCGTTTCTGCATCATGATGATACGATCCTGCGTTTGCCAACCACGTGCGGGCGAGTGCGCAACAGCAAAACACACGCGAAAGAGACCGGCCTTTCAGACTCCTCCACGGCAGCTGCGGTTCCCTGAAGCACTGCGGCCACTTCCCAGAACGCGTGATTAAGCACTCACATATGTGGAGAGGCGGTGCTGACACGGGGCGGGGAATACCCAGAAAAACAAGAGTCAGGTGACCCGCGAGAAGCTCGGCGCTCGGTGAGGGCTCCAGATGAGTGAATCAGCGTGAGGCTGCCGTCAGAAGAGGGATGCACGTGGCTTCATCACGCCAGCTGCTGCACCTAGAACTCCCACCCGGTGACTTGGGAGGTGGTTTTATGGCATCTTCGGGAAGCAACAACTTGAGGATTAACGCTGCTTGGATTGCTAATCTGCCTCTCCTGGGAAATCTTAGCTGAGTTAGTCCACGCTCCATGCGTCTGTTTTCTATAAAATAGAGGCCATAATAACAGTGCTTGCCTCCCGTGTTGAGGAATAACTGAAACGGTGCGTGTAGAGCACTCAGCACGGTGTCGGTGCTGCAGGGAGCCGACTCCCGTGGCCCCTCTGCCACAGACCGAAGCATCTTGAAGGCCGGGAATCAACGGGCCTTTTCACTTCTGCCCTTTAGTGCCAAGCACGCAGCAGGCACTTCATAGCAGCGAGAGCCAGGGGTCGGAGGGATGAGCCAGGAGCTGGGACGCAGGGGGAGGCCACGAGCCGCTGACCAAGCGGAGCCGTCTCATGGGGTGCAGAGGCGGCAGGAAGGACCTCGTGTTTATCTGCAGCCAGAAAACTGGGAGTCCCGGGTCTGCACTGGCTCACTGCAGGGTCAGGGCAGGTCACTCAGCCTCTGACATCAGTTTCCGTATCTGCACAACAGAGCTATTCCTCTGAGTGCACCGGTGATTACGTGCAATAATAATTTCATGAAATGTAATAACATGTTAAAGAAAAAGTCACATAGGAAGTGGAGTAGAGTCTACATGTCCGGTTCCCTGACGACCTGTGACTCGCGGGCTGCTGAGAGAATGAATTCTGACGGCACAGACGCAGCATTTGAGAATCGCCAAGGACAATTCTTTGTTTACTCCTTTTGCTCTTCACAATTAGGTAAAGGTAGCAGAGCCGGCAGTGGGACCTGCGGTTTCCTTATGGTGACACAGAGCCTCAGAGGCGGCAGGCGTCGTGCCTGAGGCCACGCAGCTGGGTAGTATGACCACCGGGACGAGCGTGCCAGCCTGCGAGCCCCTGGCCTTGACCGAGGCTGCATCAGCGTCCGCAGAGCCCTGGGCCAGCGACAGGCCGGATGAACCCACTCACATCCTGCCCTAGGATGCTAAATACAGCTCCTAATTCTGACGCTTTGTGTTTCTTGATCACAAAACCCCATTAACTCAACACGCCTAGCAAATACTCACATGTGAGACAGATGTGGTTATTTTTAAGCTGCATTTCAAACCATTATGTGTGGGGAGATGTATTTTTGGACACTGACTTTAATTGTGCACCTGCGAATCACTCCCCGGCAGGCCCGGATCTCGCTATCAAAGCAGCAACTTCACACTCTGCAAACAGGTATGGAGACTGATTGGGAGAGGACAGCAGAGTAAATATTTAATGCCACCAAGGAAAAAATATCCCCATAAACACAAATAGCACCAGCCTGATTCCCAAGTGCCCCCAATTGTCACCCTGACCCGAGGCAGGAAGACATGTCCCCGAGGGAAGCTTGGTCTCTCCCCGGGGTAAGGGTACGGGAGACTGGAAAGATGACCGGGAGTGAGGACGACCCCGCAACCTCTCCTTGCAGGTGACTCGCCCGTCTACCAAGGGGCCTGCTGCCTGGCCCAGCAAAGGCAGGGCGGCGACGCCACCCTCGTGTGGCCCAGCCTCTGTGAACGTCCCCTGTGTGCCTGCCCCGTTGCAGGTGCTGTTCCGGCACCAGGGGACGGGCGTGGAGGAGAGACAGGCCCATCAGCGACGCCACCTGCACGTGGGCCAGGCTCTACGCACATCCCCTGTGCCTGCCCTGTTGCAGGTGCTGTTCCGGCACCAGGGGCCGGGCGCGGAGGAGAGACAGGCCCATCCGACATGGGGCTCACCGTCCAGGAGGGGGCGGGTAGTTCCCAAGGAGATAAGCAAACAAGCATCCGAAGAGGGACAGCACCACGCAAGGACTAAGACGTCCCCTGTTGCCCAGGGCCAAGCGGGCATTTTATTCAAAGAGCAACTGGAAGCTACGAGAATCTTTCCACAGAGGAACGAGAGGATCCAGTGAATGTCTTAAAATTATAAACCACCTAATCTCACCACTCAACGAACCCTGTGAGCACTCGGGACTCCTCTGAATTTTCTGATGAGGCAACGGAGCCTCAGAGAAGTGAGATGACGGTTCCAAAGGCCCCAAATCTACAAACATCCGGGCCAAGGCTTGAACTCGGCATGCCTGGCTGCGGCGTCTCACAGCCACACTTTGCCTGTCACTCTGCCTCTGGAATTCCCAACCGAAGGGACAGAAACACCACCCCAGGCCCTCCCTCCACATGGCCTTGACACAAACACATCCTCTTTTTAAAGGACAACTTGAGTTCTAGAGAGAGCATCCGAGACACGAGATGACAGCCTCCCTACTTAACACACAAAACCGTCCACACTGGCCAGTGTGGGCCCAGCCCTGCTCGACCCTGACGGTTACTGACTCAGAGGACTCAGCCCATTCCGGGTGCCAGAAGCAGTTCCTGTTCACACTGTGAGAGCTCCACGTGCTCATCCTCTCATAACACACAAGAGATTTTTTGCAATTTCCAATTGTACATATCCAAATGCTTCTTAATAGTTTTTCTTTACGGAGTATTTCTAAGTCAACCTTTGGATTCCATTATAGCTCTGGAAACGTTCTACTTGAATTCTTCTGAACTGAAAAGTGGTGAAGGTTGAGCAGTTGGCAGGTCTCTTTGATGTGGTCCATTCCAGCAGGGGTGGGTGGCAGAGCAGAAGCATGAGGTCAGAGCTGGGCGCAGACACCCCCTGCGCCCATGAACTCCCTGGGAAGGGGCCTCGTCCACCCTTGTCCGGCTCCCAGCACGGTGGCTGCCCCATCACGTTTGCAGCCACCGCTGGGCAGTGAGGGTCCACTCTGCCACTCAGAAGCCTTGAGTGCAGCCTGGACAGCCCGCGGCTGGGACGGAAGGGCCACCTCCCTGCCTAGACAGAGACGGTGCATGTGCCACTCACAGTTCCCCAGCAGCTGGGGAAGAAAACTAAAACACGGCACCATTAGAGAACCACACGGGACAGGGCAGATGAAACACCACGTGGAGCAGGGCTGGGTCAGCGGGAGCAGGGGTAGGAGGAAAAGGAGGTGAGGACAGAGGGGCAGAATAATGCCCCTCCCCAAAGACTTCTCGTGCCTGGAACCTGTGCATGCATTAGGTTACACAGCAAAGAGGAACGAACGCTGCAGATGGAATTACACTTGCTCCAGGTAGGGAGATGGTCCTAGGTTACCTGATTTAACCTCAAGGACCCTCAACGGTGGGAGAGGGAATTGAAAAAGCCAGAGAGCTGGTGACATGGGGGACTCAACCTGCCATTGCTGGCTCCAAAGAAGGAAAGAACCACAAGCAAGGAATGGGGTGGCCTCCAGAAGCTGGAAAAGGGACAGAAACAGATTCTCCCTGGAGCCTCTAGAAAGGAACATAGCCCTGCTGACATCTCGATTAGCCCACCGAGACTTCTATCCTCCAGGACCGTAAGAGAATAAATCTGTGCTGTTGAAAAGGCCGAGTGTATGATAAGTTGTTACAGCATTATCAGAAAAAATTACACACAGATCAGATGGGTTGTCATTGCTTGGGCACGGGTGGGCAGCAGGGGGCTGCAGGCAGGGGGAGGGAGTCGGCAGTTGGGATTTACATGATGTGTTGTGTGTGGGGAGGAGCTCACCTTCCTGGAGCAAGACCTTGGGTTTGGGACTGACAGAGGGGAGACCTGACAGCAGCAAGGGCCAGGGTCATGGTGGCCCTCAAGCCTCAGGGACAGAGGCCAGGCATGATGTGCACGGCCCCAGGAGCCACTAAGGGTCTGACGTGGGGGACCCAATGGAGGGAACCTCAGGACAGCCTAGAGGAGGTGTGTGTGGCAGAGGAGATGCACTGGCCCGGAGGCAAGGAACACAAATGCCACTGTGCCATGCCTCTGCCCCACCCATGCTCACAGGCGTTCCTGGTTCTGCTCCTGCCTTTCCAGAACGAGGGTACGTGGAGGGGACATGCTTGAGAAGCAGAGGTGGCAGACCCACCTGGGCCCAGGTACAGGAGGGCTCACTTTGACTCTGACCTTTGGAGCAGACACTTCCTCGCCGAGTCTCAGCGCTCGCTCTGTAAAGCGAGGACTGCTCAGCAACGCCCTCCCCACCCCTTGCAATGAGCATCAGGGCTAGTGCATCTTAAATCCTGTGCGTGGAGCCTGGCCCACGCTCGAGGAACCAGGGCCACGTCTGAGCAATGGCAACTCGGCCAGAACCCTCCCGGGCCGGTACCTGGATGTTGAGTCTCCCCCGGTGCGCTCCCAGGCCATAGCGCTTCGCCGTGGAGGCGTGGAGCTGGAAGTCTGTGATTTTCAGGGTTTCCAGACCAAGCGGTGGGCAACCTGGAAAGGACAATGCTTGTGAGAAACAAGGACAGACGCTGAAAGAAATGTGTCTCTGGTTTTCTAAGTCTGGCCATGTCCTCCCCGTTCTCCCCTGAACGGCAGGCCCCACCCCTGCAGGATCCAGCTGCTAACGTCAGGCCGATTTTCTTTCTGGTCGGCATTTGCCTTATGGGTGTTTTTGCGCTGACATCCGCTCTCTGTTGCTGCCCATGCTACCGTCTGAGGCTGTTTCCAATTAAGGGTCCTTCCACAGCGTGACTCAGTCAGGGAGCGTCATTGGTTGGACATGTCCAAACAATCCCATGGTCGACCTCCGCAAATTAATCAGAACTTGTTGATTTTGCTTCGGCAACTCTGGCCCCTGTGTTGTGTACGTTAATGAGCGGAGCAATATGAATAGAAACAAATCCATCTATTGTCTTCTGTTTTCGGCAAAACTGATAACACTGAGAACAGCTCTAAACGCCAGCGCTCGGCAGGGCCCTGATGGTCCTGGCCCGGGCCATCGTCCCTCCCCGCAGATGACAGTGCTCACAGCAGCAGGCCAGGACTCGGGCCCCCAACCCCTGGCCTGCCGCTCTCACCCACCACCCCTGCCGTGGCGCTGGACCGTCTCGGAGGGATGCTGCCTCCTCAACACCTGATCTTGGAGAAGGAAACAAAAACTCAGGAGTAGAAGCAAACAGAATCTATTTCTACCAGAAAATCAGAATCCCCCAATGTACCAGAGGCAAATTCACACAGCCATGTGGGTCACTGCTGAGGGGAAGTGCCCCAGAGATGCCAAGGGCACCCCAGGGCACGTGAGCTATCTCTCCATCCAGGACAACCCCCCAAGGGACTGGGAGTTTCAGACTCTGGCAGGGAACGAGGCGCTGGTCCTGTTCCTCCACACCCCGGTGCCCGGTGGAGATCCACGACATTCCCACATGGCCAAGCATCAAAAACCCAGAAGGCAGCTACTGCCACTTGGATGAGCCGATTTCGCAGCCACATGGAAAGTATCCCCGTCCACCAGGTCCTTCCTTCTCAGCAGGTGACACGCCGGTGGTGCGTTCCCTGTATTCATCCAACCAAGCGACCTTGTGTACATCATTTATATCAAGGGTCCTCAAACTTTCTAAACAGGGGGCCAGTTCACTGTCCCTCAGACCGTTGGAGAGTGTGCACTGTGGGCCCAGGATGAGTCGGCTACTAAGCAGGACAGGCAGCGGCGGCAAAAACACCCGGAGGGCCAGATAAATGTGCTAGGCAGCCCGCATGTGGCCCGAGGGCCATAGTTTGAGGACACCTGATTTAAATAGGTGGGAAGATACGGACAGATGCACAGCCGGCCTGCCAGACAGACAGGTAGACACATACGTATTATCTACTAGCTCAATAAAGCAACAGCAATCGCTACTGAAAGCATTTCTTCCAGTTAAAGAGAACACCTCATAAGAAAGTGCCCATCAGCAAGGTGTCCCGTGGGCACACGCCCAACAGCCACTCACAAGTCCAGCGCCTGACCCTCCAGGGACTCGACCGTCACATGCACCTGGTGAGGGTGGAGGTTTCCCCAGCTGCAGCGCTGGCAGCTGCCACATCTGGCCGACAGCCAGTCTTGTCCACTCCTGTGATGACGTCATAGCCAAGCCAGAAGCCCCGCCCCCTGCACCCTGCAGACAACGCCTTTGGTGGGGTCCCAGATAAACACGTGGCCCTGGGTACTTGGGGGCCATTTCAGACCCCTTGGCCTCTTCCCGGTCTCCTCTGTACGGTCCCTGAGTCTGCTCCCCGGCTACTCCCTGCCCCTGCACCAGCCCCCGCCTGGTGTCCACGACACGGTGTTTTCCTGTTTCTTCTCTTTCTTCTCAGACCAGACCATCCCTCCTGGGTTGGACTTTTCTTCCTGCCACCCTGAGGGGAGTACTGTCGCCCACAGACTTGCTCCCTAAGAGAAACCTCCCTCCTCTTCACTTTAACAATCCACCTTGGGCGTCCATGCCTCGCACATGAGATGTCATGGGTACCGCCCATGCTAGCGGGAGTCAAATCATGTGTATAGCGTTTAAGCTTGGGCCCCACTTGTGAGCTGGTTTGGAGACCGACCTGCCCGTGCCACGCAGACTCCAGAAGCCTCAGCGCTCGCATCAGCTGTGGCGTGAACACTGCGGCTCCTCAGCCTGTGCCCTGCAGCGAAGCAAACGGCCCAAGCTCCACCCTCTGCTGCTGAAGACTCTCCGCAAGGCTGCAGCTGCTTCCTCTTCCTCGGCACTCTGTCCCCTTGCTCAGGTGGCAGAAGCCCCAGGAGGGGTCACAGAGACATGCACCAGTGTCAGCTTCACTCCGGTGGTTTCCCTCTCTTCCATCAATCCTCCGTTCTTTACTTTTCCCTCTGACAGCCTCCACTCCATTCCCTCCAGCGCACAGCTGCCCCGCACCGGGCTTCACTGTTCCCGTGAACATCAACCCGTCTCAGCAAACGCGTACTGCATCCCAGCCTGGATGCCAGGGTAAAACTACCCACTAAAAACCATCTTCACCAAATCACATTTTAAAACATTTTTTTAATTAATAAAAAATTTAAGCATAATGTTGTTTAAGCACAAACTCTCCATCCCACGTCTCTTTGTGCAAAGATCCGCACGGCAAAACTCCCATGTCAGCACACGGCGCCCCAGGACCAGCTCCTAGGCCCATCCGGGTGGTGTCGCTGAACCTTTGACACAAGAATCTCCACACTTAGAATAAGCAAGGATTTTCCCATACAGAAGAACAGGAAAGGTAGGGATAGGAAAATAAAGGACAAAAAAAAAATGCCTTTTGATTTAAAGATTGTAAATTAGCTCAAAATACAGAGTCCTGACGTGTTCTCTGGATTTCACACTTAATTTAATACTAAAGACACACAGACACAAAGGCACATAAACACCGGGCACCACAAGAGCCTCAGACTCTGCACAGTTCTTCCCCCAAAATAAGCCCGAAGACCCTGCGCGCCAAAGAACTCCAAAAGCAATGCAAAGCGAGGACGAGAAGTTAGACTTCTGTTGGTTTTAGGTTCTCAAAGACACTTCTGGTCCGGGTCCCAGGACCTGCGATCACAATTCCACCCCCCACGGCTGGGGCTTTTCTCTGCCCTTCAGACACCACCACCAGGGACGACAGGAGTGTCGCTTTGGCGACCAAGCAATGGAGGAGAAACTCGTGCTTCTGAGCTCAATTTAAATATCTGTAATCAGAGAAAAAATCTTTGTCGGGACTGTATGATTCTATCACAGTGTCAATCAACGAGATAATGACCAGGTTTACAGAGTGCTTGAAGCAATGCGGAACTTGCTGCAGCTCCTCAGCCCTCCACAGGACTGTGAGGTCCACGGGCAGCGGCTCTGGCAAGAATTGCCCGGAAAGGACCAGACGCTGCAGCCACAGCCCCGGGACCGGGATGAGCTCCCCGCACCTCCGACAAACACAGACGACAAATCCTTTACCATCCAGTCAAATTTCTGTTGCTTCTAGGAAGAAAAAGGCCCTATTCCCGGGAAGCACGTGGGTGAGCAGAACACAGAAAACGTGTGGAAAGAACACTTTGGGAAAATATTAATTAGGGATCAGAGATGTGTCACAATCTGGAGGAAAGGAGAGTGACAGTCACTGGAGATGAATCTGCTTCTCTCCTGGAGAGCGCGCGGCTCTCTAAGAACACGTAAGAACACGCCGTGCCGAGCAGGGCAGCATCCCCAGCCCCGGGCTCTGCTCCCCGGCGGGTGATGAGCCCCCCGCCTGGTTCTACCTCCATGCCCCACACACGCCTCATTAGAGCTGCCCCTTGCTAGCTGGCTCTGCATTGCAGCCACTTTACAAAACAGTCATTAGCCCACTGGCACAGATTCATCATTCCTCCTCCTCCTCCTCCTCATCCTCATCACCACAATAAATCATCACACATGCACGTCAACTCTCGAACAAATTGCAAGTGTCCATTGCCTTTAATATCATCGGGTTCTTCGTGACCCAGAAGTTGCATGGCACAGTCAGGGTACAGCATGTTCGTTAGGATTCTGAATCTGGGGCATCGCTCCCAACACCCTACCCCCATTACCCCAAATCTGTCATGGGTGGGGAGATGGGGAGAAAGCTGTTAGGAGAGTCATGTCAGGACAACTGCTTTAAAAGGGTAGTGGTTTGGGGAGCAACAGGGCTGACCTGCAAGCATGAGCCAGGCCCTGGAGACATGCTGTCATTTAATCTTCACAATGACCGTGAGAGATGGGCATTTTCATCCCCAATTTACACACGAACAAACTGAGCCGCAGGGACGCTGGCCAGGGTTTAATAGCTACTAAGTGTCTGTGTTAGAATCCGAAAATCAAGTGTGACATAGAATCCCAAGCACAGTCTTTATGCCATCTCCGTCTCACTCGACAACTCAAGAGTACAGCACAAATGCCAAGTCGCTTGGCAGTGTCTGGGGTCACAGCGGGAAAGAGCTGGAGCCAGAACAGGCGTCACCCACTGGCAGAGCGGAGCTCAGCATCGGGGCCCTGTGGCCTGCTGTGATCGCGTCAAGACACCACGGGCACTGCCAGGAACGGGCTCGCGGGCCTCCTGAACTCTTGCTTTCATTGTCGCCTATGAACGGAATAGCTTTGACGTGCGGAATTCTTTCCTTCTCCTTTCTGAACTTGACATTCCCTTTGGTCAATGAAGTGTGGAGGCAGCTTCCCGGAGCGCTGAGAATGTGTTTGCGGGGCTCTCTGCCTGGCCCGGATGCCACTGGCCCCAGAAGGGCACGGCCTCTCTCTGGGAGATTTCTCTCTTGGGAACTCTCTGCACTGGTCTCAGCCTCATCGGGTCGCCCGTGGAAAGCTTTTGAACACCAGCCACACCAGAGATGACCCTTCAGTCCCTCACCACTGGGCTCCTCCAGGCAGCAGTCTGCACCCTGAGCATCAGACTCGCCCGGGGAACTTAAAGAAAAGGATATCCTAAGCCCTCCCTGGAGACTCTGATCA